GTGTGATTGGACACACAAGGAATTTGTCTTGGTGCTTATGCTCTCAGTGTACATAAAAGAAAAGATACATTTGTGACTAATCACAAGGTACAGAACTTAATGATAGTCATAGGGTACAAATAAGCAATCAAATCATACTAGGAAACAATCAATATACATCCCAAGGAAACAAGCAACAAAGTTACAGTCATACAGTCATAAGTGGGAGGAGAAGGGTGATAGGAATGATGAGATTAATAGTAGTGCAGACTTAGTAAATAGTTTGACAGTGTTGACGGAATTATTTGTTTAACAGAGTGATGGCATTCGGCGAAAAACTATTGTTGTGTCTAATTGTTCTGATGTGCAGTGCTCTATAGTGTCATTTTGAGAGTCATTTTGAGAGTAGGAGTTGAAACAGTTTATGTCCAGGATGTGAGGAGTCTGTAAATATTTTCACAGCCCTCTTTTTGACTCGTGCAGTGTACAGATCCTCAATGAAAGGCAGGTTGATAGTAATTGTTTTTTCTGCACTTCTAAAAGCATATAAACTCTTCTGGTATCCACAGATGTCCACAGGAAATCTTTTTTTGGCTTACTGTAATTTTTAATGTTCAATATATTGTTTAAAATAGAACCAAGAATTAAAATGTGACACTATTGCAAAATAAAACATTTTCCTCAGCATTATCTTTGGTTATAGAAATGTATTGATGCTCTACAAGGACCCAAAAGGAAATTTTAGAAATTAAAAATAATGGATGGCAGCAACCCATCTACTCTGAAAGGGTGAATAAATAGAGAAAGATAAGAGTGTTTGAAGAGTAATCCCATTAGATTCTGTGTGTGACTTGTTGCTTCTACAATAGCAGTATTTTTTTTTTGAACAATCAAATTTCTCCACAGCAGCCATTTTGGCAAATATCCACAACAATATACCAACGTTCCAAATATACGCAATAGTCCTATAAAACTGCTGGACTTAGTTTGGATTGTGTAAAAACAGTCAACAATATAATAAAAACATGTTTTTCATAGTTAGGAGATATTAATAGGAACATTTCTGAAAAATAGTATAAGATTTATTTAGGATTATATAATCCTAAATAAAAGCCGGCTAACAAGCCAAGCCAAATTCACGCTTAACTTTCACGGAAATAAACCAAATAAGCTAATCAGTCATGTTGGTTTTCATCTGCATAGCTTTCTCTAGATAGCAACTACTCTGGAATAGCAATAAGGCAAATTGTTTATCCATAAAGTCCTTGTTATAAATGATTTTTTCCAACAAAAATATGTACATGTTATCAGAGGTTAAGTACCTGTGAACAATTCTGTGGAAAGTTTCCATTTATCCAAAGTAGTTAATTTCAGTTTCTTTTCACAATGATCTTGATCCAAATTTGATGCATTAATGTAATTATGGATGTGGCTAAAACTACTTGCAGCAATTGGGTCAATGAGGTAACATCCAGAATGATATACCAATGTTAATGATGAAAACCACCACAAAAATGCCCAGCAGCCAGTCATACTAAGTCCTGCAACTTTTCTTAAATCATGATCAATTCTGTAGGGAAACAAATGTGATTGATATTCATAATGAGACACAGCTTTATTTCTGACCCTTTACATTTATAAAAACAACTTCCTTGCAGTTTTAGTTTCATACATATATAGGCAAATAGCAATTCCATTTTTCCATTCATTATTTTTTTCTCCAGCCAAGAAAAATCTGTTAAAATATTATTTTCTTTTAAAGATAATATTAGATCATAATCTTTTATAGATAAAAAAAATTGGAAAGATTCTGAAATAGCCACAATACAGGAATAATTGCTAAAGATGAGAGAACTAAAAGAGATGGTAAAATTAACTTACTTGGTTAGAAAAAGATCAACATTTGTCAATGACTGGAAATCCCTTATGGATTTTTTCCTGAAAAAAAAAATTAGAAAAAGGACATGAATAATGGGCTTGAAGATTAAAAATGTAGCTTATGGAAGAAGGAATTAAGATGTAACTTTAAAGAGAGAAGATAAAAGAAAAAAGCATTTATAACTGTAAAAAAGATGGGAAACTGCTTCTTTATCATCTTTTTTCCCCTTTTTCTATTTTCTTTCTTAATTACCATACTCAATTGTTTGGATTTTCTTGATTATTTTTAAATATTTGTATTATTTTTATCTTGTAAAAAAATTGAATAAAAATTATGTTTAAAAAAGATCAGTCCATTAGGGACCTCAATTAATCAGTTCAATCAGAATAGAGCTCGAAGAGATCTTTGAAATCTTCTAGTCCAAACCCCTGCTCAAGCTGAAGACCCCATACCATTTCAGACACGCAAATGACCAGTGTCTTCTTAAAAGCCTCCAGTGATGAAGAACTTCTGGAGGCAAGCTGTTTCATTGATTTAGTTGTCCTCACTATTAGGAAGTTTATATTTAGTTCTAGGTTGCTTCTCTCCTTGATTAGTTTCCATCCATTGTTTCTTGTCTTTCCTTCTGGTGTTTTGGAAAATATGTTGATTACCTCCTCTTTGTGGCAATTTCTCAAATACTAGAATTCTGCTATCATGTGCCCCCTTGTCCTTCTTTTCCCTAGACTAGCCAAACCCACATCCAGCAACCATTCGTCATATGTTTTGTCTCCAGGCCTCTAATCATCTTAGCTGTTCTTCTTTGAACATTTTTCAAAGTCACAACATCTTTTTTGTAATGTGGTGACCAAAACTGGATGCAGTATTCCAGGTTTGGCCTTACCAAGGCTTTATAAAGCAGTACTTTTGATTTTGATTCTATGCCTCTGTTTATACAACTAAGGATTGTATTAGCTTTTTTGGCTGGTGCCGCACACTGCTGACTCATGTTTAAGTGATCATCCACTAGGATTCCAAGATAAAATTAAATTTTATCTAAATCAGATATAGGCAATCCACAAACTGTATAGGAGTACTAATTTCTTTTTATGGCTCTCAAAGTATTTCAAGATAATGCCACTGCAATTTGGTAGCAAAATTACGGATTTCTGGTACTGCAGTTTTTTTTCCTTTTGTGCTACAATAAAGAAATTAAATTATCAGGAAGATTAATATTTCTATTAAATGCCTTTGTTTCCTTCCTCTTCAATCCATTATTCTTGTTAAATTAATTATTCCATTTTTATTATATCCTTTCAAAAAGCACTGTTTACCAAATACCTCCTTTCTTAACAAACACTCTTTCAGCCCCTGTTCAATCTTTGGATGATGCGGAATGAATGTTACTTACAACCAGTCTTTAACATTCTGGCCATTACAACATAATATACTATAGCTTTTACTGTCATTGTACATCACATATACAACGAAATTGGTTACCTCATGGTTACATGAATGCAGGCTTTGCGACCATAACTATAGGCTTCTGATAAACAATACAAATGGCAGTCATGTGCTTAATTGCAAGTCTGAGCTCTGAGGGAAGGCACGGAGACTGATTACTGGAACAACTGCTTTATTTTAAGAACTAACAGCGAACGAATAACAATTTAACCTGACAGCCCTTATATAGCCTAGCTGTCAAACAGTTAACCAATGGAAAGCCTGGAATCTTCCCGCCAGACTGCAGTTTCGTCTGGACCAATCAGCGCTTGCCAATTACGTGATTGACGTTCCTGGTTGTAGTCATGGTGACGTAACACTCCTTACCCCTCCCCCGGATTGCACAGACGTAGTCCTTAAGGTAGGCAGGCTTCCGGTGCGTCCTCTCCAAGTGTCTTAGTTCTGGGTTGGCTGCCGGGTAAGGAGGTTGTGCTGATTCTACCTCTGCTGCTGTTGGTGCTTGCTGGTTGAGGCCCTCTGGAGACTCCGCCCTCGCTGGATTATGGGAAATGACAGGTCATCTGACGAGAACGAGGCGGGTATAGAAGCGAGGGTGGTCTCAGATGGACTGAAGTCTGGCTGGCAGGCAGCAGAGATAGGCATGTTTGGGAATGGCTCCCCGCTACGCACAGCGGGTTGAGCTAATAGATTGGGTGGCATGTCGCGGCGCCACATCTGGTCCACATGGCGGCGCGACTGTCATCCGTCCTGTAACTGGACCCTATAAGAACACAGGCCAGTTACTTGAATAATAGGTCCCTCAAACCACTTCGGGTCTGTTATAAAATTTCGTACAAATACTCTATCCCCTAGACCGAAACTACAGGTGTGTCCCAGCGGCTCCGGAGGGAAGTCCATGTGAGAGGTAGGATGCAATCAGTCCAGTAATGTGCAGAGAAGGCGGCCCATTAAAAGTTCCGTGGGATTTTTCTCTGATGTTGGGCAAGGTGTGATGTGTTAGGCCAGTAAGTATTGATTAATTTTCTGTTCCCACTGTCCTGGTCCCATGCACTATAGAGCCTCCTTAGCGGATTGGACAGTCCGTTCTGCCTGCCCATTGCTAGAAGGGTGATAGGGAGCGACCAATGCATGTCTAATACCCAGACTGGACAGGAAGGCTTGGAAAACAGCAGATATCAATTGCGGCCCGTTATCAGATACTATGGTTTCTGGTAAGCCATGTGTGATGAAAAGGCACTACAATTCTTTTATGATGGTCTGCATATTTCTACCCACTTTGAAAAAGCATCTACCATTATCAGAAAATTGTGGCTATTCACTGGGCCAGCAAAATCCAAATGCAGATCGGCCCACGGGCCCTTTGGCAATTCCCATGTCCTAGTGGGGGCTGCTGGAGGATTAGGTCTGGATAACTGACGAGGTTGACATTCTGCCACCCAGATAGCTACATCTTCATCTAATTTGGGCCACCAGATGTAGCTGCGGCCTAAAGCCTTCAGTCTGGCGACGCCCGGGTGCCCTTCGTGGAATGGTGCAGAATGGGAGTACAAAGAGATGGGGGCACTGCAACTCTCTGCCCCCACAATAGACAGCCCTTAAGTTCCGACAGTTCCAGCCGCCTATGATAATATGACAGGAACTGTTCGGCAACATCTCTAGGCCAGCCCCTTTCAACCCAGCCCAGGACATGTGAGATAATGGGGTCTCATTTTGAATAGGCAGCCACATCAGTGGATGATAGTGGCAAGTCTAGATGATCGATCAAAAGGACCATAGAAACGGGGGCCGGGTCTTGAGTTTCTGTTGGCAAGGGACAGCGACTCAAGGTGTCCACGTGTCCCATGTGTTTCCCAGGGCGGAATTCTAAGCAGTAGCAATATGCTGCTAAGAATTCTGTCCAGCATGTCATCCTAGGGGATAGTATACGGGGAATTGGGCAGTCCCCTGCTATTATTCCTAATAGTGGCTTATGATCTGTTTGCAGTATGAAGGGGCGGCCATATAGATAATGATGGAACACATGAGCTTCGCAGCTGCCCCATCTCCAAAATGCGGAAGAGTCCAATAGCCTATACAAAGGTTCCGCAACAGAAGCCTTGGGAGGTAAAAACATGGCGTAGAATTTTAAAATCCCCAAAAAGGCTTGCAGCTCTGTTTTACTGGTGGGGGTTGGAGCCTTTTAAATGGCTTCTACCTTTGCATGTATGCCCCAGGCATCTATATGAAATCCCAGGAAGTCTACGGATTTTACCCCAATGCGGCACTTGGATTTTTTAAATTTGAGTCCCGCCTTGTGGAATCTTTGTAATACGGCCCTGAGCTTGGACAGCAGGGCCTCCCAACTTTGTGCTGCTATTAGCACATCATTGAAATAGGGTAACACCCCTGGCAGCCCATGGAGCAGTTGCTCCATGATGCTTTGAAAAATGCCTGGGGCCACGCAGACTCCAAACTGGAGTCTGCGGCATCGGAACACTCCGTGATGTGTAACAATCGTTTGAGCGTCCGCGGTAGTGTCATCCACTGTCAATTGCTGGTAAGCTTGAGCTAAGTCAAGCTTAGCAAATATGCGGCCCCTGCCCAGTGAATGCAACAAGTGTTGCACTATAGGGACAGGGTAAGGATGAGCTTGAAGGACTTTATTTGAAGTTGATTTGTAATCCGCACAGGTCCTGATGGATCCGTCGGATTTGACAGGTATAACTATGGCATAATCCATAGGCTCTAATACCCCCTGCTGTAGTAGCTTGTCTAACTCAGCATCTACCTTACTCTAGAGAGCGAAGGGAACCTGCCTGGCCTTCAAACGGATCGGGGTTACACTAGGGTCCAGATTAAAAGATATTGGGGACCCCCTATATTTACCAAGGGACTCGCTAAATACATCAAACTCCCTGGCCAGGTCTTCAAATTCAGCAGTGCAATCCGTGGCGTGGATGCCTGTAATGGAAAAACCGAAAGCTGCAAAGCACTCCAACCCCATTAAGGTAGCCCATGGTCCATCCACCACCACTAATGGCAGGGATCCTTTAAATTGGCCATATTCCACAGTGAACATCCCATAGCCAATAACTGGTATTGGATTATTTTAGTAATCCCTTAAAAAGCAGCTGCCCCGTGCCAAATTGGTTTTTTTAACTTTGGGCAATAGCCGCTTGAGTTCCCCAAGCGATAATTGATTTAGTAGACCCCATGTCCACCTACATTCTACATGGAGTCCCCTCAATCAGTACACTGATGAACAGCTTCTTGCAGCTGGCACTCCTCACAGCTGCGGTATTGGCTGTGTCCATATTGTCCTCCCCGCGGTCTATGGCATGGCAGTCAACTTTGGTCTGGAATGAATGCCTGTCCTTAGGTCAGTAGTCAGGGCGACCGGCCGGCTTGTCTTCTCTTGGAAGGGCGGCGCGGCAAACAGAAGCAAGATGTGGGTAGCTTCCACTGGCGGTTTGCGGTCAAATTTAAACGGCTGACATCTTCAGCTGCCCCCTCTTCGTCCTCATCTGCAGCCACCTGATGATTGATCATGGCTGCAGCTGAGGGCTCATTGTATGAGGCTTGAAATCTTCGAATTTCAGCCACAGATAGGTCTGACGGTTCGGCCGCTCTTGCCTCA